GGCTGAGGGGAGCAGCGGGGCAGCTCCGCACCCCCTGATGAGGGGACCCCGCGGGGCGGGCTCGGCCGAGGGGCGCAGCGGGGCGAGCGCGGAGCTCCGCGGCCCCGGGCGCGATCCCGCCCCGGCGGCGCTGCGCAGGCGCGGGCGGGCGGGCGGCGGGCGGGGGCCGTTCCCGGGGCAACGGCCGGGCCGGGCCGGGGCGAGCGGCCGCGCTGGGCAGCGGCACCCGCCGGGAATGGGGCCCGCGCCGGGGCCCCCCCGCCACGATGCTGCTCGGCAGGAAGCCGGACGGGCCTCTCGCAGCCGGTGAGCAGGAGGAGGTGGCGGCCGGGGGTCCCGCGGGGCTGGGGGGAGAAGGGGGGATGCGGTTTGGGTCGGAGCCCCCCCGTGGTCCCAGCCGTCCGTCGGGTCTGTCGCGACAGGCGTCGCGGTTTGAAGTTCTTGAGCAGCCGACAGCGAGAGACGCCGCCTTTTCTTTTTTATCCCCACGCTGTTGCAGCTGTAATTCCCGCATCTCATTTTTAAGGGATAACCTGCTTTAAAGGCTAGTCCTATCAAGGGTTTAAGTGTTTGCTCGTTTTCTGCTCGTTTGGGATTATCCTGATAAAGGGGAAGCGAGGAGAATGTGGTGAATGATTCTTAGGGATGTATTTTTTTGCAGTGCAGAAGTTGATTAACAAAAAGGAGCCTCTAAATTAAAAGTATCTCGAATTAAGATTTCCCAGAAGCATTGCAGTCCTGCGGTTTGAAAATTCAGTTAAATTCCAAAGATCGTTTAATGAATGAAGGAGAGTCAATGATTTTACAGACTAAAATGTGCATTTAAGCTTTTGGCTCTGTCTCTCTCAGTGTGAGTTGTTGTGAATAACTGGTTTGTGTGTGGGACCATTCCAGCCAGGATTGCAGATGGATTATACGACTCCTATATGAGGATAGATGAGTGTAGATACCCAGAGCCTACAAATGAAGAACGGAGCCCTTCGGGACTTCCTTCCCTTTCGAGACCTCATGTGAGTATTTTAAAGTGATCTGTGTCTTCACGTTGTGCTGTGTGGGAGTGAGAACTGTGCAGGAGTCTGATATCTCCCTACAGAGAATAGATTTTAAAAGTGGGATTTTGCAGCTTTGTAGTGGCTTCTTAACATTATTGTTTGTTCTGAGCACGAAAATGATGTGCTGCGTTCAGTGCAGAACTTGCTGGCAGCCTCAGGAGTGTCGTCTTGCTGCCCTCAGCTCGTGTTTTAATAAAAAAAAATACTTTACAAAGGGTTGAAGCGTTCTGCCATGTCACCTTGTACTCTGATAAGTCAATCTACACATGCTTTGCTCTGCCTCCTCCTGCACGTTTCCATTTTAGTTTCCCTGATGAAAATTCTGACAGGTAAGTATGTAGGAGCAGCAGAAGGAGCAGTGTGAGTCTGTGTGGCTGCCAAACATCTCACAAAAGTATCTTTCTGCTCTGAAAACTTGGGGCATTATCTGTCACTTCTTTTGCTATCAAAATAGTCCTTAGGACCTGAAGGTGTTGCTGGGCTCTTTCATCATGGCTCTGTTCCCTCAGCAGATGTGCAGTTGGGAGATTTTTTTTCCCTTTAATTGGTTCAGTAGTGCTCATGTTCAGCTGTACTTTTGTACACTGATCTGTCCTTTAGACGGGTTTTAAATGTGTTCTGGCTCTTGTTGAGTTCTGACAGAAGGGAAGGAGCTTAAGCTTAAAAAAAACACCTCTCACTTTCTAAAAAGTGAAAATAGACATTGCCCTAAGATGCATTTGAAAATCATCACCTTGTGGGATTTTGTTGTAACAGATTCAGTCTGTGCAAACTCAGAGTCTGTTTTTTTTCCCTTTTTGGAAATGTTGAGGGGGAACAGAAGGAATTTGGAGTTTTGTTGAGCAGAAGAATTGAAGAGTGTTAGGTTGGGTTTTTTTGTTTGCAGCTGCAGTGTTTTAAGCTGTAGTGTGACTTCATTTGTTCATAGCTGAATACAAGTCAGTAGAGTGGAACTATCCAGTGAAATACAAATACAAACCCGTGAATATATGAATATTTTGTTTGACTTGTCTTCATCTGTGGGTTTTTTTTGTTTGTTTTTTTTTTTTTTCTTGAAGCCTGTTAACTTCTTAGGGCAAGATTAAGGATTTATAGCATGCCCAGTTTGCGTGGTGATGTGTCAATAAAATCCAAAATCCAACTTCAGTGGTATCAGGCAAACAGGAGCTGAGGCTGAAAATGGTGGTGCTGAGTTTTAATGGGAAAATACCTGGAGTTTTAGGGTTTTTTTGGAAGATGTTTTATTATTATGTAATGTTACATGAGAATTGAGGAGTCTTGGTGACTGCAGCTGCCCATTCCTTCATCTGAGCCTGAAGGAGAACAGAGTCTGTCTGCTTTGAGAACACATGGGCTGAATTCAATCTGTTTAATTCAGTGTTCAGAGCATCTCTTCAAACCAGTTTGTGTAAGAATTTGCAGTAACTGTTTCCTTGTCAATGAAAATGAAGTTTTGTCAGGGAGACTTTTCAACGAGGTGCCACTGGTGTTGTCAGCCTCATTTCTTGCCTGCGCTTCAGCAATAAAACCAAAACACTGTGGAGGCTGGGATTTGTGAAATAAAGCTGTTAAAAGAAAGCTGGTGTTACCCAGGAGTCATCTGAGTGCAGCTCTTCTGAGTTCAAGTGAAGATGGAGCTATATTTGTGTCTCACCATCATGTGGCAACTGATTTTGGGAGTCCTCTAAGAATGAAAATTGAGACCTTACTACCGTTGAGTCAGGTTTGAAATCCAAAGCCGTAATTCCTTCATTAAGAAATCATTCCAGGATAAATGGAATCATGAATTGCTGGTTTATTTAGGGATTCAGAGGGACAAAATGTTTGCTATGAACAAACAGCAGCACAAGCAGAGTTGCTACTGTTCTTGGGTAGAGAATATTTTAACAAGTGTGACCCTAATTCTGTGTTTATATTCTTCTGTTTATTTGTAAACTTTCTGTTTGGGTCTGCTGGACTGAAGAGTCTTTGAGGCAGCTCTGAAAAAATGTCATTCTTATCTCAGAGGTTCAGCCAGGCTCCAAGAAAAAGGCGTTTATTCCCAGTTACCAGGGCTGGGCTCTGTTGTTTTTATTTCAGACTCTGGCTAGGCGTGTCCTTCCCAGTACGCTGCGTTTTGGGGTTGATAGGAGGAGTAGAGCTTGGTAGGATCTCTCCATGTTGATAAGAACTGGCTTCTGAAGGGAAATGCCTTTTTTTTGGGGCTTGTGAGCAAGAACTGACGTTTCAGGGCAGCACCAACAAGCAGAGTCTTTTATAAGCTGTGTGTAGTTGGCTTTGGGGAGAACATTCACTTCCCTTATTTGCTGACCCTGCTGAGATGTTGGACTGGATGTAACTAAAAAGGAATTTGGTTTTATTGCCCTGGGGCAGCAGATTTATTTATATATATTTTTTTTTGTTTGATTCCTGTGTAGTTATTTTGGTTTTCAGGGATTTGGTTTGGCATGTGTCTGAGATCTTTATTTTTAGATTAAAGGACAAAATGGAAAACAGATGTTGCTGCTTCAGTCAGGGCTTCTTCAGTTCTGCCTGGGATGGGACAACACCTCTGTGCTGCCTCTCAGCAAGGAGTGCCAGCAAGCAGGAAAAGGAAAAACTGCTGTGTTGGTGGGGAACT